GTTTTTCGAGACAGGGTTTCTCTGTAGTTTTGGAGCTTGTCCTGGAACTAGCTCTGTAGACCAGGCTGGCCTCAAACTCACAGAGATCCGCCTCCCTCTGCCTCCCAAGTGCTGCGATTAAAGACGTGCGCCACCACTGCCTGGCAATAGTTTTACTATATCAGACATATCTAAGGAAATCTTTTGTCACTTATCTTAAACAACAAAGAAGCAGACCATGTTTGATCGTCAATTTGAAGTGTAAATAGGGTCTGTTTTATTTCTGGTCTCTGATCCCAGTGATGCCCTGAACAAGCTATCTGCAAAGCAAGGGCTTGATGCCCACTGTTTGAGACGCGATGATTAAAGAACTACTCTCATCCTCACAAACAACTAAAAATAGCACGAGAATGTGAAGACAAACAGGTCTCTGAGAACACAGACAGCCATGCAGAATTTGTCTTCTTTATTTCAATTGTTCCTACGGACGCAAAACGCAGAGGGGAAGATCTGGACGTGAGAAGCTCACTCGTCAGGCAGCACACTGGAGAGCTGAAAGACTTAATAACATCTTTTATATGCGTCTCCTTTTCACTGGAGAACTTCATGAATCCTGAGCTGAAGAAAGCTGGAGCGCCTTTGTCCTGCATAATTAACAAACCCAGACGATGGGCTGGCTCCTCCTTGCTTCACATCAACCTTAGATTTTGGGAAAATATGTTCTCATTGTAAGGTGTGGCAGAGGTATTATCTCGTTGGTTCAAATGTCTTCATATCAGTAGGTACATATTTCACAGTGATGAATTTTCTTCAAAGGCAGAAAAACCGTATCTAAATACATTGCTATACCAACTTTATTGATTTTCTTTGAACCACTGCAAGCAACATCCATCATCTTCCAATATGTCTTAAGTCTTCCAGAACCTCAGTGGCCCTGAAGGTTTCATTTACTTTGGGAAGCCTTGGTTTAGGTTTACTCAGGAACGCTGTGAATCAAACATCACTGGACCGACTCCGCATGTGGGAAGCATCAGTCCTGGAGAAGCTGTTCTCTCGTGGCCATGTGATGTGGGAGTGGTTTCTTATTAATAAAGAAACTGCCTTGGCCCATTTTATTGGATAGAAAATTAGGTAGGCGGTGTATACAGAAGAGAATTCTGGGAGAAAGAAGGTTAGAGGAGGAGAGGCCATGATTCTCCCGCTCCAGACAGTCGCAGGTTAAGATCCTCCCTGGTAAGCCAGCTCGCGGGCTACACAGAATATTAGAAATGGGTTAGAACAATATGTAAGAGCTAGCCAATAAGAAGCTGGAACTAGCCGGGCCAGGCAGTGTTTGAAAGAATACAGTTTCCGTGTAATTATTTCGGGCATAAGCTAGCCAAGCGGCCGGGGTGTTGGGGACGCAGCCCCTCCGCTCCTATTTCAACAGCCATGAAGAGTCAGTTCCTCTTTTCTAGAAATAGGCTTTTCCAAGCATCAATTCAGAACATCTAGGTGTCCCTGGCCAGGTGTTCAGTGTGAAGTGAATGGTCAGTACAGGTCAACCATGCACCCCGTTGGTATAAATTCACTTTGCAGACTGGATTTCATAGTAGCACTTTGTGCCCCCCCCCCTTAGCCTTTCTTTCTTTTTTACAGTTTTAATGTATCTTTAATGATTCAAGAAAGAAATCATTTAAAAAATCATATGTAAAACTGAGATGAATATCAGGAGACATCACAATGAACTGAACTTTTCCTTTTTTTATTAAAAAAATACCAATCCAAATTTCCATTCCCTCCACACACCGTCCTACCCCACCCCCTCCAGTCCTAAAAGAAGGCAAGGCACATTGCCCTGTGTGAGGTCCAAAGCCATCCCCACTACATCTAGGCTGAGCAAGGTATACATCCCAAAGAGAATAGGATCCCCAAAAGCCAGTATATTCCCCAGAAAAATCCCAGTGCCACTGCGAGTGGCCCCTCAGTCTGCCCCAGCCATACAACTGTCAACCACATTCAGAGGGAGTAGCTTGGCTCTAACTGAGGGGACCTAAGAGGTGAATGAACAGCCATATGGCCAGATGTCCCACTCTCTAGGACCTCCCCAGCAGGACAAAACCCCGATCCCCTTCCCCAACTCTCTAGGCTTTAATAGCCAGCCAGCAGGGAGTTTCCTGTGGCTAGGATTATCCCCCAACCCATCCAACCCCCATCCAAACTACTAGCTACACCCAGTCCCAAACCCACCTATTCGTCTTCAATATCAGTGGAACTCTGAAACACAGTTTGCTCCAATACTGAGGGGACCTAAGAGGTGAGTGAAGAGCCACATGGTGGGAAGCCCCACTCTCTAGGACCTCCCCAGCCGGAAGAAACCTAGGGCCCCTTCCCAAACTCCCTTGGCTTTTCTAGACAGGCAGCAGGGAGTTTCCTGCTGCTAGGCTTTCCCCCAAAACCATCCAGCCCCCCAAAACCATCCAAACAACAAGCTACACCTGGCCCCCTTTAGCTTCTCTTGTCTCCAGTAGCTCATCTGGGTCTGAGGGCCACACTGAATCTGGCTCCTAAAAACAGCCTTGGTTTGGCGATTGTTATCATGCATGCAGCATCGGCAGAAATTTCTGCGATCAATATTTGGCAACGCAATCTTAAAAATCATGCACATTTCAAATACCATCAATAAAGCTGAAACTATCACTGGGAAGGATCTGTTCAAAGGGCTCTTTCAGCTGTAAATTCACATCTTTCCTATAACATGTTACAGATATAAAGGATTTGCCCAAATCAACTGCCAGGGAGAAATATATTTAAGGCAGGGACAGTGATTGTTCACTTATCTTAGTTCAAGGTGTTTTCAACTAAACATCACAGTGGCTTTTTCTACTATGGCATGGGATCTTGGGATTTGGGGTGCGGGCTTTTTCTCTTTTGTTTACTTGTTGCACTGGTGACATCATGCTAGGGTGGAGGTCAGAGGACAGCTGTCTTCCCCTTCAGGACCTGTGTTCCAGGTGTCAGGTTTGACAGCCAGCACCACTACCCACCGAGCTGTCACACTGCCCTTATCTCTCACTTCAAACTTCATTGCCTAGCATACAGTTTATAGATTGTTAAATTAAATTTATTAAAAAGGTGAATCCGAACTAAAATCAATAAAGAGATAAGAATCAATTTAAAGCCAGAAAACAACTAAATCTAATTATAAAACTGAAGGCTAGAAATTCAGCTCCATATCCCAAGGCTGCATACAGCAGATCAAAATTGTTTAGATGAAATTATTGATGATGGCCCAGCAGCTAGTCAATAAGCAATAAGCTGAGGGGATAGCTCTCATACTGAACTATGCTGTCCAATTCTGTGATCCAAAATGCAGCTATGAAAATATAAATTAATTACAATTAAACAGAGTTTAACATTCAATCAGCTCCTCTGTTATTTTAGTCACATTTAAAATACTCACCAGCCACAGGTTGCTGGTGTTTAACATACTAGGCAGCATAGAAGAATTTTCTGATTATCACAGAATGTTCTCCTGGACATTCTTAATTACTGGGGATAATCACTACTATTACTCCCTATAATTTTATGAAGCAGGAGGAACAGGATGGTAAGAAAGGGAAATGAAGTGCAAACAATGATTAAGTCTGTACTGCTTTGTGCTGAGCACTCGAAATATATAATTTTATACATTCCTTACATCTGTAGTCATGAGGCAAGTCCTATCATTATCCCCACTTTAAGTCCAAGGCCACTCTGCTTCGGTAGATGAAGTCAGTCACCATATTTATTTGTTCAGTGCTGAGCTCTGACGAGTCTCCACTCGAGTCCCCGAAATGCAGAGTCTGAGCCCATCTGTGAAGCTGCAGTTACTCCAGAGCTTGACATGATCATGGCCAGAGGGAACAGTAACTTTACAGTAGTGTTCCTAATACCGCACACATGTCGGAAGTATGTGAGGTGCCTCATGAGATACCTGAGCCCTGATCCAGAGCAACAGGAATGGAAGCAGGACGGCACCTTTGGGATGCAGCTGGTTCTTTTGATATTATACTCAAGTTGAGGATGGCAGACCAGAAGGCAGGAAATGCTGAACATGCTATCGGCAACCCTGAGACAAAAGCCTGGATAACAGTGTTGCCAGGGTAATGAAACTAGTTTAGGAAACAATGATTGGCAACATTCTGCTGGTTCTTGGTGGCTAATATCTGTTCTCCCAAGGCCAGGATGTTTTGAGTTCACATGACAGAATTTAGGATGTGATAATACAAACTTGTAAAATGAATATGTAATTATAACATTTTTCTGCCTTTGAGACATTTGCCATTTACAGTGAAAGATTTTCTTCCTAGAACAATGCTTTCTGAAGTGATCACTCCACTTAGCAGGGGGAAACAGAGAGGACTAAGATAGTAGGACATTTGCAATTGCCAAGGAGGAGGCATAGGCTGTATAGCTGATTGTCTATGTAACTCTAAGATAAAAGCAAGGTATTGGTTTTCCCTGTTCTCAGGTTTATCGTCTTAAATAGGGATGATGACTCTGAAGGCATTCTTCAGCTAAGATCTGTGAAGAGATTAAAGTCACCACTCCAACAAATTTCGCTCTCTGCAGCATGCTGTATTGTGACATTGGTGTGCAACCTGAACAAGCCTGAGAAATGAAACTTCCAGAATTTGACTTCCCCACAACTTTAGCTAATCTACACATTCCATGCCAAGAGACAACAAGAGTGTGTGTTGAAAGCTCATCTTTCATTTGCCTCATTAAGAATTTTTCAAGGCGAGGCTTGCGAGCCAAGAATGTCTGCAGGACAGAAACCCTTGACACTGCCTTTCTTTAATGGCGACAATAGGGCTGGCCCCACCCTTCAATTTCACAGCTGCTGCTCAGGCACATTGCCACCGTATCAGCCAACAACTTACCTTTACATCTCTTATCCTAGATTTCCTTTAATGGAATTTTAGGTAGCAAGAGTGGTTAGCCAAAGCAAGACAGAAGCCATATCATAATCAGTAGTAAGCTATATATCCATGTCTTACCTTACGCTTGTTTGTCGGACATACATAGAGATAGCTCAGAATTGTCTTCAAGCCCACTTTATCATTCAGCTTTTCATAGGTTGTCCCATAATCAGTTGACCTGTAATTCAAAAGATGCTTTAAGATCGCAGCAGTATCCGTCACTTGGCTGCTTGTCAGTGTAATGCATGTTTTACATAGTAGAATGGCTCTCAGGAGGCTTCTAAATGATTCATGCAGTATATAATGATGCTTAATTATGTACACAGTTGCATCATGTGAGTGGTTAACATTTGCATTTAAATTGAATTGGTAAAAATTAAAACGCCATCCCTCGACTGCTCCTTAAAGAACGCACTTTGCATAATGGATGAGATTAATTCAAAAAGATTAAGAGATGAGGACGCCCTTTGAATTGGCCATAAAAATAAAAGCATTTTTAGTTAAATATGACATTTCTATACTTTTGCTTTCTCTCTCACACAGTGTAAAATCAGGGTGTCCTGATTTGTATAAAACCCATGTTTTCATTCATGGTCAAAGAATATTTGGGTTGCTAGTTCTGTCCAAGGTCATTTGGTCTTACTCTCTGTGCATTATTTAAGAGCAAGGAAAATGTCTTCAGAACGAGTAAAATTTCACAACTTTCTTGATGCCCTTTTCTAGTCCTAGGCTACATGACTTAGAAGGCATCAACTCTGGGCCCTGAGGTTCTTGTAAAGTCCTGTCAGTATTTAACCATTTATCAACAAGCTATTAATTCAGAGAAAATAAAACAGACTAAATCATCTTTTTAAGGAAGACCTACTTTGTAGCCTACAGTTTTAATTCCATGGAATCATCATATATGGTACAGTACAGGAGGAGCTATGAGAGTTCAAATAAAGTAATCAATAACAGCTAAATGATCCATGCAAACAGAAGAGCTGATAAATGGGCTATTGAAAAATTTAATCCAGGTTCTTTCCCTCTGCTCTTGGTTGTTTTAATTTTACCTCAGTTTTAAAAAAAATCATTATTGAAGAATATAGCTCTATAATTCCTTCTCAGCCTCTTTTTCTCACAAAGGAAGCTTACAGTGAAATCCATTGTATCATCTATATTTGTGTAGTTAATAAAATGGAGCAGACTCTGTACTCAGTTGCAGGATGTAATACAAGGCTTTCACAAGCCTTCCAACTCACCCAAATAACAACAAAATAATGGGTACAATGTGGTGTGCACAATGATCAAAATATATATTAATAATACTCAGAGAGAAAAGTTGGGTTAATTTGAATCATTTTAATTCATTTTCGATGTTGATGACACACAAACATCTCTGAGACATAGTAAGTGAAAGTGAAGAACGACAGATTAAGTGCCTCATTCTCTTATGTTCAGAGCCAACTCTGGGCAGTAGGGAGATGCTCAATCAGGAAAGTGCCAATCACTTAACTCCAGCACCCATACAAAGTCAGGTCCTGGGTTACAGGCAGATCCCAGGAGATCCTGTCTATCCAGCATAGATGGAATTAGTTCCACATTCACTTATAGACCCTGCCTCAAAATATAAAGGAGAGGCAGACAGAGAAAAACACCTACTATTAACTTCTGGCTTCTACACACTCACACATGCATACACACATGGACACGCATGCATAGACCACACAAACCCACACAAAAACAACAAGATGGAAAGCAATTGAGAAGACACTAGGTGCTGCTCGCTGGCCTTCACGTGAACACACATATATGTGTACACTCACCACACACAAAGAGTGTACTCCAGACAAGATCCATAAACCTGTCGAAAGGTGTTACTAGAATAAGAGGTTTTTTGACTTGGTATGCAGGATAGTCCATCGCAAAATGTTACACAAATGATAAGTACCAAAAATCCAGGACTTTGTTTTTTTTGTTGTTGTTGTTTATATTTTTTTTAGTTGTTGAAAAAAAATTCTGCCTCCTCCCCGTTTCCTATTTCCCTCCCCCTCCTCCCACACACGGCCCCCTCCCCCCACTTCCCTCCTCCTCTCCCCACTCCTCTCCCCTTTCCCCCAGTCCATTCCCCCTCCCTCTCGAGACCAGCAGTCCAGATTCCCTGCTCTGCAGGAAGTCCAAGGTCCTCCCACTTCTATCCAGGTCCAGGAAGGTAGGGTTTAGAGAGCACACCACAGCATGGAGGAATGAGCATTGAACAAAACTACTTGAAAAATTTTGGACACTTTCAAAGGAGACGATTTAGAAAGGGGAAGTAGGCAAAATCTCAGGGACTAGAAATGAGCCTGCACAAACAAAGTACATAACTGGTTTACTCAGGACCAGTGTCCAGACCTCCACAGGCAGACAGAAATCCTCTTGACAACAAAGAATGCCACAATAGGCTTCAGAATTCATAGAAAGAAAGAAAGAAAGAAAGAAAGAAAGAAAGAAAGAAAGAAAGAAAGAAAGAAAGAAAGAAAGAAAAAAGAAAAAAAAGAGAAAAATGTCTTGTTATATTTCTCTCATACCAACGATTTTTCTCCTCAAGTTCCCACTCTATTATAGGACATGTGCTGTTATTTTCAAAGAATTATTTAAGATTTCTTTCCTCACCCAGACCATGATCAATATTTAGATTTTCAATTATTTCCCTAGTCATCTTCAACTGGCATTTCTCCACTATGACATCCTTGTCGCCTAGATTTTGTTAGCTTGTTTCAACTCTGTATGTGTGTCTGTCTGTGTGCATGCACACACAAGTGCATATGAGTGTTTTCACGTTTAAATATTATCCTAACATGAGATGTAATGGAGTGAGTAGCTCAGATTTATGTTGGCAAAATTCAGGTAAAAATATATATGTTGTTATTTATTCTCAGGGCACTACTTCATGTTCAAGAACAAAGAATAGAATCTTTCTGGGAGCTGGTGAGAAAGATGAAATGTGTAAATGCTAGTACATTAGTAAGTCTCACCTATTGACAATTGAAAATATAAAACTTCTCTGATGATGTAAAAGAGACTCAAATATTCTAACCCTAACCCTAAAATACTGGAATAGGAGCTTAGAGAGGTGGTAGTGTACAATGGGTGGAACAAAGAGGTTTTTTTTTTATAAAAAAATAATAATTTCTGAACCAAAACATTCTACAACAGCATATATAAAGTTCCTCTGGCAAAGCACATGCAGGTGCTTATGTTTGTGTGCTCAAGTGTATGCATACGTGTGTTCCTCTATGTGCGAGTGTGTGCATTTGCCTGGGTATGTGCATGTATGCTGTGCATTTTTGCATGTGCATATTTATGCCTGGTGTTTGTATGTACATGTGTTTTCATGTGTGTGCATGTATATAAGTGTGGGAATATTTATATGTTTCTAACTGGTACCTTAACATGGCAAGGTGTAATGAAATGAGCAGCAGATATTTACATTAGCAACATTGTTCAAGATTTATACTGCTTTATTGGGCACGTTTTTCGTTATTAGATCTCTTCTCCATGAGCCTGGATCTTCTAAGGTATCTGGTATTATTCTTTTGTGATTTCTATCAACTTGTTTACCAAAATCTCAAAAACAGATCCAACATTTACCAATTTTCCATTCCCAGAAGTTCAGATGGTCTGAATATTATGGATCTTATAACAATGAACTGATCTAAAAAAATAAATGGTAATACATTTTCACATTCAAATGTATAGAGTGTTATCATGTGTTTTGGAAATATAATGAAAGTGGTGGCCTCATAGATGGAGCTACCATTACAGAAGTGAAAGTACTAAGCACTTGCAATCCAACTGGCATGTTGTCACCGCTACTGTCTCAATTGTTGTTCCTCCAGCTTTACCACCATGGTGTCTCAGCTAGACACACCCTGGTTTTCCTCACAAATGAAGAAAGATTTAGGGTGGACACAGCTAAGGTCCTCAAAAACTTTGTTCAAGCACCAAGATCATGGCAGGTGACGTTGGATCAATGACTCTGCAGAGCACTTTAAACACAAGCAGAGAGATAGTGACTGCCTGGTTCTGTGTCCCAGAAGAAGATCCCTGGTGCTCATAAGATTCACAATACTGTCTTCTTGATAGAGACATGGAAGCAGGCGTTCCCTAAAAGGATGGACTTGGTATGAACAGGAGAGGCAGATAGGCTCAGTAGCAAATTGATGGCGAGCCAATGTAGCAGTTGTTAAATTTGTGAAAGGGTGTGTCTGAAATGGGAAAATGGGACAGTGTTCAGAGTCAAAACGTTGGGAAATGCTTGAGTAAGCAAAATTTAATGTTCCTTTACATTAAAAATTTTTACAAATTTTATTGGTCTTCTATACACTAACCCCTTAGCCTGTCTAGTACATGTAGCCTTTTCTAAACCTACTTAACTACAGAACACTTTCTTAGGTGATATAAAACGTAATTAGTGTTCTAAGCACTGCACTTTGGAAAACACAATATTATTGACAAAGAAGGAAAACAATGACTGTAAACTTGGTTTTTTAATGAAAGGAAAAGAGTAACCAAATTTAAACAAACAACATTTGAAAACAGAAATTTGAAAGTGTGATAACTACAAAGTAAATGTAAATATAGAGAGGTGATTTGATTTAAACAAACAAAAGGAGAAGATTTTAATTTTGTATAATACATAGACATATCTAAGATAGAATATTTGTGGGCCTTGGATTCCCAGGTTGTATCACTTCCAAATACAAAGCAAGCGTTTTCATCAGTAGGACTGTTACAGATTGATCTGTCTATTCATTAAAAAGAGCATAAAACAAATGAACAAACATAACTTCCAATAACCACTACCAAAGCAGCTGAGAGCCTAAAAATTAATTTTTTTGGAGAAATGGGACATTTGATGAAAGGAAATCTCGCCTAATTTTACCTTTGATCTTTAATCCCTCTGACACATATTAATAGTGACTATTAGAACAATACTAAATACACAGAACCAGATGAGTTGGTGTGAAGAGAAAAAAACCACCTGAAGCATCCTACCTATGTCACAGGAAGCATTGATGCCTTTAAGATTGTAAGATTTTCTATTACTTGGCGAAAGGAACCGAATGGGATATGACAAGCATCAACAGTTAGAAGGAGCAGTAGGGAGTGACTGGGTCTTCACTATTACCACTGGACATTCCAAATGAGATAACA